CGATGTTGTCCCTCACCTTGATCTTCCAATCTCTGTATTTCTCAGGTGTGGGGAACTTGGGGATGAGAACCTTGTCAGCCTCTTTGGCCTTGTTCTCACGATCCCTGTCTTTTGATTTCTTCTGCTGCTTCTTCAGTTCCTTGCGGATGATGCGTGCAAGACGCGACGATTCAGAGCTTGAGTTATGGGAGCTATCACTTCCACTTGATGAGCTACGAGATGAAGGTGATGGAGAAGGAGAACGCTTCTTTCTGCGATCTCTGGAGCGGCCCCTCTTTGGGCTCTTTTCTTTCTTCTTCTCTTTTCCTTTCTTCTTCTTGTCTTTCTTGGACTTATCATCACCTTCTTCATCTGCATCGGATGGATGAGGTTCGTCAGCGCCTTCGTTCCCGCGCTTCTCCAATTGAGTGCGAAGGCTCGCTGGAGGCAAAGCTGGGGACCCTTGAGATCCAAGTGGCTGCTCGGGAGGTGCAGGCACTCGGTTCCCCGAGGCGTTGTCGAATCTCTCTCTCAACTCCTTGATGCTCCAACTCTGCTCGGCTAACTCTGACCGGAGTGCATCCTCTCTTTGCTTGGCAGAGGCGTGTTCGTTCTCGACGACGGCGTGTCTCTCGAGCGAAATCCGATCTAAATAAGCCCTTTGTTCATGAAGTTGTTGATTCTGATGGGCTTGGTTCATGTCACTTAAACGTTGATTGGCAAAAGCCTCAAGTTGTTCCCTAGACTCCTGGATAGCCGCTCTGGCTTGGTTTTCTACCATGTCTCTATATTGCCTAGCATCGTCTGCAACTTGTTGCCCATGCTCGGCCAAAATGGCCTGAACCCGTAATTCCGCAATCTGAGCTACCTGAGCTGACCTATCTTCATTGACGAAGACAGCTTGTTGATGAATCTGTCTGGCATCAACATTCTGGACATTCATCACAGGAGAGAACTCAGGTCGGAAAGGCGACGGAGTTTGAACACTAGGCATCAGGTCCCCCTGTGCACTGAACGTAGGTGGCGCATTTGGCACACGCAAATCCAGCGGAACAATAGGGAGCTCCAAAGCAGGTGAACTAGACATAGCAGGCGAGGTAGGACCGTAGCCTGAACGTGAGCGGTCACCACGGGAACCACCATCATCAGCCATGGCCTCTAGATAGTGCACTATCTATGGTGGGGTGAGACCAAAGCTAGTAGCAAGCACGTACCGCACTTATGGCGATACGGCTGATAACCTGTAGTTACAGGAAAACGACCGATAAGTACCACCTAGTCGCACCTGGTTTTCCTTGAGCCAAACGGTAGGTAAGTGAGACATGTATTGAACATACTAGCATGAAACAACAGTTGGAGAGACATCACGGCAGATTGGATGCTCAAGAGAGTCACGCTGTTGATCCCAATCTCAAAATGTGACCAAGTAATGCTGGGAGTAAGGAGAACCTTGCAGTGCTGCGGTCAAAGGTCCTGCCCAAGATGGTGCCCGTGGGCTATATGGTTGGAACTGTGGAAGTTGCATCAGACAGACAACCCGAGGCCGGAAGATCTAGTGTTCGGGGATGCCAATGGCCACAAGTTATCCAAGTTCAAGATGGTGGAAGGTTGGAAGCGCATCGCCCATGACCATGTACAAGGACATTCAGCGCGAAGAAGTGGAGCGATGCACTACGTGAGGCTAGGCGTGCCCATCCAAGAGTTAGAATTTCTTGGAAGATGGAAATCCTCAGTCGTACTCACATATGCCGAAGAGGCCTTGCAATCCGAACCAGCGAACAAGAAGCTGGTGGAAGAAACTCAACAAGCAAGAAGGAAACCACCTCGTCCCCCTCCAGTGGATGACGCAGTGAAGCAGAAGGAGATGAACACTCCTAACGACAAACCAACAGATGGAAAAGACTTGCTCGTGAGCAAGTTGCCGAAAGACTATGGGTGTCCTCCACTGCTTATAGTTCAGGGGAACGAGTTTGACACGTAGCAGACGGTGCAGAGTGGGACACACCCATGGAAGACTGGGTGACGGTCTGCGGATGGCCTTTCAGCAGAAGATCCACAAAAGTGGCTCTCCAGGCACAGCTGCAGTTTCATCAACGCAAGTGCAAGAAATGCTTGAAGAAGCTAGACAGCCGCGGCGGGGCGAGTGAGGTGGAAAAGGTTGGCGGCTGAAAAGCATGCAGCCAGCTGTTCAATGAACAGAAGAGGTCAATGAACCTGACCTTGACTACCAAGCAAAATGTATGCACTGCTTGGTGTTCACTGGAGGGTGGGAGGGAATGAAGCAAGATGAGCTGATGTGTCTTCTGCGCCTTTCAGTGCCGATCAAACAGCTGAAGGACTCCGAGATTGTGACGCAGAAAGCGGGTATCCAGTAGCATAACAACGCGCGCGAACCGGCTTAGGACCCCCTTCCCCAGGTCTCTCACAGGTCGCCTTCGAGATTTTAGCTAAACACTACGGGCAGGCTTTGAGTCTCACGCAACTGCAAGAATGTTGCAACAGCTTGTGCGGAGCCACCTTCAAATGCGTTTCCTGCAAGAGAACTGGTCCTTAGCGCGGCCTGACCTGAAACCATAACAGTACCAACAGCAGGGACCGTCCAGCCTGAGAGATTCCCAAAAATGAAGTTTCGGAGGGAAGCGGGGGGAGGTGCTGGTGTTCCTGTCGCAAGTGTTCCCAAACCAAGTTTGCCGCCTCCTGTTGTCGGCGAGTTGGAAGAACCGCTCTGTAGCGTAAAGTCGGCCAGGTACATGGTCGAGCGTCCCCAATTGCACTTCCAATCCAAGCTTTTGAAGATTCTGGATCCTGTATTGCTCAGGCCCCCTTTTCACCTACTGTAGGTTTCCTCAGGGCAGGATTCAGGGCGTGACTACTTTATCTGGAGTGTGTGGTGCTAGGGGGGCGTCTCTCTCATTGTGTTTGCGTGGCCTATCATGAGCTGCGAGCTGTTGAACATGCCGACCCCTGAAATGACATAGATGCAGCTTTCGACCTTAGTCGTGCTGCTAGACTCACTGGCCCCCATTACGGCTTTTGTTTTGATCGCTTTGTAACAATGCCACAGAAAGTCCCTGTTGTTGGCGGTGTTTCGCCATTGCCATTTGGTATGTGTTTGCTCAAGCGTATAAGTGAGGTGTTGGAGACCTCCCGGCCTGGGTGGAGCGGTTAGCCTGTGGCTCTGATCAAATGCCCATTGAGGGTGTTCTGCTGGCTGCAATCACAACATGCATGCTCAAACCTTCTTTTTGAACGCAGTGGCATTTTGTGTGACAGGGTTTTTGGTGGGCCTGTCATAGACCTGGCGCGCCAAGGGATTGGTGAATCTTTGCTGGAAGCGTCTGAGGGGCTGGAGCGCTTCCGATGTGTCCCTCGCGGCACCAATTTGCGGTTTCGATCCATCACTTGTTGTGGTCGTTGTGGTCTCAGGCTCCGGGGCACTTGCTCAAGACACTCGCAAACTGAGGTGGTCGAGGATGCAACCGCTGTTGCAAGTCATTGATGGTCAGCAGTACAGAAGCGCACTCAGAGAGCAGCTTTCGGCTAGCTTGCATGGATGATGGACCGAATGACCTATGAGTGTCATGTGTATGTGCGAGAAATGGACTCACAAGGACGTGAGCGTGGATGAGCTCACATTTGCTTAGACCTTCGCTTTGAAGGGCTTGGGAAGCACAGAACTTGGGCCTTGGGAGTCGTCTCAATTTTCGGGGACAGCGTCGCAGACATGAAGCGACAGGTTTCTGGGTCGAGCGGCCAAGTTTTTCAAGAATTCACTGGCGCTTGCCCATGGGGAAGATAGGCCTCACAGACTTCAGGCGCGGTGGCAAGTTTCTCGTGGCCACCAGAAGCCCCCGCGGCCTCAGCTGGTCAAGGTCATACGAGTCATACATCATCACGATCTAGAGAGGAATCATTTTTTGGTTTCCCAGTCCTACACAAGAAGAGATCGAAACTTCGTTGGCCTCAGCTGCTTCCTCTGTTTACTTGGCAGCCAGCGACGAGACTTGAGGATTGAAACTGCACTGGAGTAATCGCAGATCAAACGGCCAACGTTTAGTTTGTTGAGTACCTCGAGTCTTCGCGCCTTGCATTTCAAGAAGGCTGCACTTGCGCTGGCTTCACACAGCCACTTTACCAGTGGCTCACTCTTGGATGGTGATGTTGAGTTTGATAGCTTTGACAGCTTTTGATTTGTTGATTCGCTCACGGGCTTGCTGTTTAGATGTCAAGCAGGGTGAGATGATGACACGTTCACCGGCGCTTAAGCGCTCAGTCTTGTGTCTTTGCCCTACGATGCGGTGGAGCACCTTGAGCTTTTAGGCCTTGGAACGCTTCACTCCAGAGGGCCAGAGCGGTCAGTGTTGCCGATCAGCGCGTCATGCAGAGGGGGAGCGGCAGAAGAATAAGAATAGGAACACGGTACATGTATTGTCAGACCACTTTTGTATATGTATATATATATATATTTTTACAGTATACATATTTGGCAGGTGCTATGGTACCGTAGGCTTTGCTTTTCGCCCTTACTTCTGACGTATTGCACGCACACTGTCAGTCTAGAGTCTAGATTTTGACTATGATGGAGTGTAGTTGTGTTTCCTGCCACTGGAAAGCTACAGACACATTGCAGCCCACCCCTCGGCAGGACTAGCGCCTGAGTCTTTTGTAACATGAAGGGGAAAGAATGCAAGCCAGACTGGTCTCACTCCGGGGCGGGTGCTTCACGCGAGAGTCTCCAGTTGGACACAAGACAGCGCAGGTTCAGGAATCCGAGCCATTTGCCTTAGCAGAGTCATGCATTTCAGGGAGGTTGTATTCAACACAAGTACGCTGCTGCAGAGCCTGATGCGCAGCAAAGTAGCAGCGCAGCAGATGGACCATGTATGCGGTTGAATGTGTGCGATATATACATCGCACTAGCCTTCGCAGTGAACCTAACCAATTTTATTGGGGATCTCAGTTCGAAGGTGTCCACAGCTCCTGGCTAGTACTTGCTGCATTCGTTTGGTGCATCGCATGCCATGGCGCTTTCTGTGTTAGCCTGCTTATCAACCGTGCTTGCAGCGCCAGCTGATATAGCCCTCGTTTTTGAGTCGCGGCTTGGCTGAAGTTGCTGTCAATGAGGTGGGTACTGTAAATTTAGTTCAGTGGGAGTCTGCAGCTTGCTCCCGCTGCCAACGTTGGTTGGCATCGGCAAAGAAGAGACTTTCCTTGCTGTTGAACAAATATAGGTATACCAAAAAAGTATATTATATGACTTTCATGTTTTCCACCTTCGTCGGCCAAGAATGGATTTGGCCCGAGCTCTTGGCCCGGGGACTGCTCTCGCGCTTTCGTTCTTGGATCGCGCCGCCATAGACTTCGCTCCTCCTGTGCCCTACTGCATTGGTTCCTACTGGTCTTTGGATTGCTGGTCATTGGCTCTGGGTGTTTTGATTGGGGTGGTACTATTCCCACTGTTGGAACTGCTAGTAGCTTGCAGGATTTGCCTACATCAGGCTCTGCTCCGCCGGCTGTCTCCGGCCCCTCGCTCTAGGCCGCTTTACAGGGTCCTGGATCATTGAATGCCCCACAAGGTGCTGACTGACGAGGTTGCACAGTTGAGGGACGAGCTAGATCTTGTGAGGGGAGAGGTGGCAGGATTGCAGCAACTGCTTAGGTTCGTAGTGAAGTCAGAGAGCTTCGACAGCTGGTGCATCAAGGGTTGGACCAATCCGAGATCGGCAGCTCCTGTCCGTTTACGCTCGTGTTGGAGATTCTCGATTCAGAGGCACCTCATATCTCAGCTGAAAGGCCAAAGCCGTCGACAGCCGCAGCGGTTCGCTCACATTCTCCCCCGCTGGAGTCAGAGCGAGAAGCGGCCGCAAAGGCCGTTGGTTGTTTCTTGCGGAGGGCTTTGGAAGGGCAGCGCAGAGGAGAGTCCGGTCGTGATCGCATTCCCCAATCATCCCGATACTGGTTGGTCATTCGTGGGATTGACAATCAAGTTTTCTCCCCAATTCGAGTGTTCAGCAAGTGGGCATCAGCAAAGCCGCTGGTGAAGCGTGGTGCGGATTGCGGAGAGTCAGCGTTTGTCGGCCTTCCGGCCATGGAAGACATCAAGCTGGCTGTGGCAGCGGGGGCTTCACTTGGGAAGGCCTTGAGGGATGATTCATCCCGCACTGCTGGAAGACGAGGGAGAGGGCAGCTCGGTTGAAGAGCTCTCCAAGCCCTATGTTTTTCAAGAGGGTTGCGTGGATCATTTCTACCCGGCTGGAATCCGTTCTTTTGACACCCCGACAGTTTCCTCTCAGGTCGTTTACATCACTCGCCTTGAGGGGCATCTGCTCGTGGCCGTTCCATTCACTGCATGGCATCGTCTGAGGGCCAATCGTGCTCTCCCACCGAATACACTCTCGAAAGTGACAGCTGTGGAGGTGGCGATGGCGGACCCAGACGACCGCATGAACATCCTAGAACAGAATTTGAGAGTTTGGTTGGGCTTCCTTCGAGACGAGTTCGAAGCCTATGTCACCTTTCCTCGCGAAGACGAGGAAGCTGGCGAAGAGACTCATTTGTTTTCCCCTTGTGGACATAGCTCAGGATCACTTCAGCTTCTTCACCGCAGTCGAGGAAGCGGTCCCAGAGGCGGGTCTGGTTCTCCAGGCCTTTCATCGAGAGTCGACAAGCTGGAGTCAGAGATCCGTGGCATAGCGCAGGGCATTCAGACCTTGTTGAAGAGGCCTCCCGACAAGGAGGCTCCAGGCTCAGCCGTCCAAGCCAGATGCTGGTCAGGACCTCAAGACATCGTACCCCCTGCTCGACCAGGCTGTCGTTCGCTCTGCTCTTCAGGCTGGGGTTGCAGAGAATGTTCTAGAAGAGATGCAAAGCCTGATGGCTGCAGCGGGCGGCGTGAAGAAGAAGCTGAAGGAGCCTCCTGGGCCTGCGCCCAAGGCAAGCAATGTCCTGTCAGAATCAGAAGAAGAGCTCCGTCGAAGCGCTTATAGAGCCGGATGGCGATCCCATGGTGCAAGCCTTGGGGAAGCTGACTGCTATTGTCGAGAACCTCGCGGCCGAGAAGACCAAGAGAAAGAACCCGGCTCTGGATGCTCTCTTAGATGGGGCTCATGGGTCTGGATCAGACAGTGCAGGCAGCGGCGCTGGCAAGCGCTCAGCCATAGCCCGCCGGGCGCTGGTGAAAGCTCTGACCAGTTCACCTCAAGAGGTCTATCAGCTCATCGAGAAGCGCATGATGGAAGATCTGTCGGGCAGGACTCGGACTCCGGCTCAACCGGAGCCCACTTTGTCAGCCCGGGCTTGGGTGGAGCACCGCTCGTACATAGGACAGTACAAGACCTTGGCCCACTCGGCGTGGGGCATCAGTGGAGTGATCGACTGCTTGGTGACGGGCAAAGTCGAGGAAGCCAGGGCGCGAGCGAATTTGCTTCTGCTACAGCTGGATCAAGTGGCTGCGGATCGGGGCTCCTGGCAGCTGGCAGCTTCGTTGAGTCTGGAAGCCCTGCCTCCTTTTGCGACTCTGGCCACCCACCATCCACCGGACGTGACTATGGGGGAACAGCCTTTTTCGAAGTTGCTGGACCCAAGATGGTCCAAGGTTGCCTTGGCCTACCTGAAGGACACGGACGACTACATCGAGAAGCGCAAGAAGCTAGGCCAGAAAGGGGGAAAGAAGGAAGACGGCGACCTCTCCAAGGAGCAGCCGTCTCCGAAGCGGAAGGCGAAAGCGAAGCCTCGCCGGTTCGGGGACAACACTGCAACCCCGGAGGCTTAATTCTGGATGGGATCAAGTGGAGCAGACGCCTGCCTCGCCGACAAGTGCGACAGTTCCGGGCGCTCGAGCTAGCTCCATCAATGTTCACGCAATCTTGATTTCACTGCCACGCTGGTTGCTACAAAGTCATTGCACCTTTAGTGGTTTTTTGCACACCATTCTCCAGAGCCCGAAGGTCCCTCAGAGGGGCTTCACGTCAAGTGCCGGTGCTGTGTGGCCTATTCCAGTCCCTTCCCTGAGGCGTTCCGAGGAGGGCATCCAGACACATCATCTCTGGCAAGGAAACGCTTGATTTGTCTTCAGGTGGCGCTTCTGGACTGGTTTGTCTTGGGCTCTCCTAGTGTGGCTCCCAGGAGTTTGAAGTTGGGGGCTCGTCTTTCAGCAAAGCAATGGAGCATTGTTCACAATTTGCAGCATTTGGCCTTTGACAGTAATTTTCCAATTAACATTGATGCAGACCAAGCTTGAGACGTTTGAAGATTCCCTCAATGCATTGCACCATGGCCTGAGTGGCTCTTGAACAGCCTCGCTACTGTGGTTCCTCCGTTACAAAGCTGGTTTTCGACTATGAAAGCTCTTCTTTGACAGCTGGTGCACCTATTGGCAAAGTAAGCAAAGTGTGTGTGAGTCCAGCCAAGGCCATCGAGCCTGACAGGTTGGAGTTTCCTTCACCCCCTGCTTTTGACCCGGTGCCGTTCTTGGATCCTCAAACTGCTGAAGTCCACGACCTCTAGCTGTGGGCAAGACGTGGGCTGACATCCATGAGCAGCCGCCTGCGGTGCATATTCGTGCCACCAGGCTAAACAAGCTGGACCTGCTCAAGAAGCTCTGTGACTCCGCAAGCCGGTGCACAGGGACAATGTCAGAAGTTCCTTTTTGTCTGGCCTTTTTGCGGCGCCCAAGAATCTCACCCGTGACAGATTGATTTTAGATGCTCGCCCTGCTAACATGGCTGACAAAAGCTTTGCAGAAGTGGTGCAAGTCTATATGGCTTCAGCAGCTATCCTTTCAGACATAGTCCTGGAGGAGGACGAGATTCTGATTGCTTCTGGAGAGGACTTGCGAGATTTCTTTTATCAATTCCGCGTGGGAGAAGAGCGCGCCAGGCGCACATTGGACGAAGCGGCTTATGTCTTTGGCACGGCTCCTGCCGCTGGCCTGAGCCCATTTACTGTGGGCTTTGCACCTTGGCTATGGGCGACCAAAACGCTTGCGAGTTTGCTCAGTGTGCACACCTGGCTTTGATGCTGCGGGCGGGCGTTGTTGAGCCTCATGAGATGTTGAGCATGCAAGGCGACATGCCCAGAGGGCTCATGTCGGTTGGAGTGATCACCGATGATCTGGTGCTTCCTGAGAAGATGCTTTACAAAGATTTCCCGGGTGTCGAATCCGGGCTGAGGCGGACCCTTTCAGATGAGAGACTTGACAAAGCTCTGCAAGCATATGCTGCATGCAAGCTGGAGGTCAACCTCAAGAAAAGGAATTCAGGAACCAAACAGATGCCAGATTTTGGGGCATTGAGCTTGACGGCAAAAAAGGGTTAGTGCGAGGATCGTCACTGAGAATGTGGCCTTTGGTGGTTGTCACGGCAAGGGTCGCCATGCTAGGACTTTGCGCTGTAAGCCTCCTCGAAGCTTTAGCAGGGTTTTGGGTTGCATTGCTGTCAGTGCGGAGAAGATTGATGTGAGCGTGATGAACAGCATGTTTGAAGGTGTTGCAATTGCAGATCAAACCACAGTGTTGAGGCTTTCAGACGTCATCATCGAGAACTTTGGTGTTTGGTTTTGTTAGGACTCTAGCTGTGAGCAACCTTCGTGCGCAACACGCCCCCTTCATCACTGCAACTGATGCATCCACTGGGTGGCTTGCGGCTGTCAGAGCTGATGCTCCACAAGCCGTCGTTGCCGAGGTATCGAGAAGGGGCCTGCGCAAAGGCCGCTGGGCCAAGCTTCTGCCACCACGCCAGGCGTGGCGGCGAGCGAATGGGAGTTTGGCGCCGGAGGATGAGCTTCCTGCTGAGAGTTTTGATGCTAGGTCGCTTTGGGTTTTACTAGCTAGAACACTTGTTTTGAAGAACGGTGGAGGAAACAGGTGCTCAGGCCTCAGCACATCAACATCTTGGAGTTGAAAGCTCACTTGCTAGAAGAAAGGCGTCTGGCTCAGCAACATCAGCATAAGCGATTTCTCTACGGACTTGATTCACAAGTTTGCCCGGGCGCATAGGTGAAAGGCAGAGCAGCATCACGTAGGCTTAGCAGGGAATTGGTCAAGTCTCTTCCATACATGTTGGGCAGTGATATTTACAGCTCGCACATGTACTTCCC